TCGAATATTAGCTATATGTATTTCATCAGATCGCGCATTGCATTTTTTATATATCTCATGGTTGACTGACAGATGCGTGATACATCGCCACATACATCACTGAGTGAGTGAGGCTACCGGGACTAACCCCTCTCGCCTTAAGGTAATAGTTCTCGTCTAGTGTCTACTCGTTCTCCACAAGTTGTTCCACCGCTGGACATCGCGTGGTTAACCGATTTGACGACGATTAAAAGACACGTTCGAGAGACAGCGGTGTGCCGCTGATGAATAGAATACTCACTGTTGGAGGCGAGGCAGTGCTGGTCGGGAACGGGTTGGCTCTAATGAGCTATGACCATTTATTCTGGCAGTGGTACTCAAAGGATGGCTACGCAGTTTTGACTCTTTAGGTGAGCCGTCTATTCCTTTGCTTTCAATAAAAAAACGAGTCAAAATTAAAAATTGCCCGAAATCTATAAACGATTCTGATGATTATGATATTATTATACGATCTGGTATCGTAAAGTTGGCTAAGGGAGTAAACTAAGTAGGAAAACACTACTGCAAAGAGAAGGAAAACACGACACAAAAACTTTTTTTTAACGTCTGGGATTCCCCTCGGGCCGTCACCCCACCGGGGTTTACGGTGGGGTGGTGTGTCGGCATCGGACTGAAAACCCCACGGTATGCATCTCTGCGCCTGTAATAGGAGGGATCCGGGAACTGCTGTTATTAAGACAAAACCCTATTGCAATCTATCTTTCTAAAGAGAGTCCTAAGTTCAGTAGTGGACTATTGAAGCTGCTGATGAAGGTACGCTGAAAAAACAATAAACAAATCCGTTAAATGAATTGAAGTTGAATGTTGAATAAGGGTCTATCTACAAGTGACAATTTGATTTAGGTTCCCTCTCATACACTAATGAAGGGATACTGAATTTGATTGTCACTTGTGAAAGCGTGCCCCTCGCTCTAGTAAGTACTCACTAGACTCTATTACAACTGATATACATATATTTTTCTGAACTAATATAATATATGTAAATACTAGGAACGACTTCGAAGAAACGAATGTTGTCTTTTTTCGTTTAATTTGAATTATTATTATATAGGTCTATAGGTTCCATGACAGGTCAAAAATGTATACTGGATACTTATAGGTTGGAATATTAAACAGATTGTTTAAAAGTATAAGATTTTTCGCTTTTCTATATACAAATCCAACTTCAAAATTTTATGTTCTCCCGTGCTCGAAATCTGTTTAAAAAGTGCTTCAAAGCGTTCTATTAGTATATATTTAGATAACTATTTCCATAAGAAAATTTGAACAACTTTGATAAAAGTGCGAGAAGAAAAATAAATAGATTTTTGCTGCCCGCATTTTTTTAGCATCAATTAACATCATAATTACAGTCAACAAGAAATTGTTTCAGGTTTTTTTTTACAGACCAGTACAGCTACGTTATAGGCCTGACCTATTAGTTTATTTAATTTGTCTAACAGTTATTCCTAGTTTCTGCCTTTGAATTTCACGTTCATGAATTCTAACAAAATTATATTAAAGACATACAAAAAACATTAGATAACACAGTGTCGTAGTGTAAAACTTTTTGACAGGATGTTAAGCTACTCATGGGTTTGTGTTACTCAAGTTTAATGAATACCATTAAAACTAATTAAACTTATGTTAGCAACTTAGTGACATTGAGGTGATACACTTAGTATACTTAACGTATAATATATTAAGTTTCGGTTTGAAGTTAAGCAATGTTGTGTTTAACGAAAAATTAAGGTCTGATCCTTTTCACACGAGGTTGCGGGACACGTTAATTGAGATACCTTATTTACATTTTAACATGAAAATGAGCTTCAAACATTAATTGCTTGCAAACTTGGCAATTAACTTGAACTTATTGTGGTATGTTGGTTAGCAATCTGTTGTTAAAACCTTATTAATTTGTACCAATTTTACGCTTTTTTTAATCCTTGTGTTTTTTTTTCGTGTGATCTATTCCCACCCAGGACAAATAATTGTGTGATGGGCACGATAATTTGTTCAGTGTTTAGGTGTTATTTATCTATGAAATGTATGTGTTTAGAAATATATAAGCACGTGTATATTGTCCGCAGTCTGATTACCATAACACAGACACTAGCTAATTTAGAATTAGATGGCCCTGTGTGAGATATTTGAAGTTATTATTATCATTATTTCGACGACCAGACGGCGTAGTGGTTTGTGTAACGGACTGCTATTCCAAAGGTCGCGAGTTCAATTCCCGCTCAAGTCAAACATTTGTCTGCATGAACATATAATGTTTGATTTGGTCAGGGTGTTTCTGTGTATAATATGTATGTATTTACAAAAAAAAAGTATATAAGTATTTTTATCAGTTGTCTAGTACCCATAGTACATGCACTGCTTAGTTTGGGAGGAGATGGCGTTGTGTGAATATGGTAGATTATTATTATTATATTATTTTTATTTATTAAATTATTGAAAGTATTTTTCTCTATGAGTTGCGCTCACACGTCTTATATCCAATGCCAGGTGCAAAAAAAAAAGAAATTTAAGCGTGCTTAGTCACAGACAAAACCCAGTCTTACTATTGATATAAATGCGAAAGTTTGGATGAATGTTTGATATCAATCACGACAGAACGACATTTGACACAGATAGATTATAGTCTCGAGTAGAACAAAGGTTGCTTTTTGTGGCGCCAAAATTGCCAGATGTACTCAATGTTAACGCGTGCGAAGCTACTGGCAATGGATATCCATTGCCATTAGTAGTATTACATTAAACATATCTGTCGCAGAGAACACTTTAGAAAAGCGATTAACAACAATTATATTTTCTATAAAATAATAAACTTTAGAGCTGTTTCATTACAGATGTCAAGGTATGTTTCACATTTGCTAAAATTAAATAAAATAACCATCTACAAGACACTTGTGTTCATAAATATTGTAACCGTTTTTATGATGGATGTTGCATTTTATTTATTTGGCCAAAAATATAAGATCTATGGAATCTATCAAGAAAAACTTTGTAATTTATGTCAGCAAAACTCATTAAAACAATAAAATAACGCTGAAATAGAGATAAGAGTAACTATTATTCACATGACAGCACAACCTTTTTAAATTTAGAAAAATCGAATTTAATTGTCTTTGGCATTCAAAATTCTCATTATAAAAAAGCTTTCTTTTTGTTTTAGTCAGCGTCTACTTTTATTATTCCATAAGCTTTGATAAGATGCCGTTTTTTAATAAACATTCAATATGGTGTACTCTGAAAATAAATTTTAATTATCTTGTGACTCTATCAGTTGTTGCAGTTTTCAATGTTTTCGTCTGTCCAGCCGTGTGATTGTTTGCCTCCCTATAGCATAAACGAAAACACCAGCTTATCACACAATATTTTGTCCTCAATACTTAGTATTCAGTATTACTACCTATGTCCAGTCCTTGAGTTGCAGTTGTCAATGACTTCGTCTGTCCATCCGTGTATAGCATTCAGGATTACTATCCACTAAATCCACTTAAACTACTAAAATAAATAAAGGTAAACGTAAAAACCACTAAAATAAATAAAGTTACTTATACCACACGGATCATTACTTGCACCATAATTGCACTGCCGCAAATAATAATCCAAAACCTCCATCCAAAATAGTAGCCCAAAAACGCCTTCTAAGGAGAAGGCTATGTCCAGCAATGGGCTATTAAAAATATTAAGGGTGATGATGATGAATATGTTTCTTAGTGAAGACATAGGTTTAGTTTGCGTAATAAATAGTAAAATCAAAAAATTCGCTAGTTTATTCCTAAATCCCGCTTAGTGTTTTTGGTGGCACAGATACCTTATTCTGATCCGTAAGTCGCATCATGTTCTTACGGTATTATATATTTTTCAACTCGGGTTGAAGCCACTCAACTTTGTCACACCTCTGTGTAAGTAAAAAATAAGATCGGCTATCCTGTTAGAGAGTCTGTAGATTCACGACGAAACAAATAGTGCCAAGAGCGAGTTACTATGCTGGGCATATTATATTATTCTTGGATTTTTTGGCGGAATTGTAAGTAGTATTAGTAAGAGATTGTGTCAAGTTCAATGATACTACTACAGCCATAACAGTAAGTAGTATTTTTAGAAATATGTAACTTTAAAACGATCGTGGTATGGTAATTATCTATCAATTCGTATTGTGTCTACATACAAGCTGATGGGTAATCTTATATCTAAAATTCTCGTGTCACAATGTTAGTTACCTTACTCCTCCAAAACGGCTGGACCAATTTTTATGAAATTTTGTGTGCTGTCGGGTAGGTCTGAGAATCGGTCAACATCTATTTTTCATACCCCTAAATAACAAGGGTGACCCACCCCTACATTTTTTTTCAATATTTCCTAGATATAATGTATATGGCAAAACAACGTTTGCTGGGTCAGCTAGTTAATATGTAAATATTAGCACCCGCGTATATGTCGGTTATCACGGTAAAAACAAGCCTATGTTACTTGCTGATAATGTAGCTTTCCATTGGTGAAATCATGTTTAAAATAAGTTTAGTGGTTTAGGTGTGAAAGCGTAACTAACAAACAAACAAACTTACTATCACATTTAAATTATAAGTATGGATTTTATAACAGTTTTATAATATTTTGCAAATGAGTCAATGGTCAATGAGGCAACTTTTTCAAAGTAACAATATTTAAATAAAGTACAAAACAACTGGCAGTTATTGGAATGAAGACGAGATTTTATATTTAAAGTTTGTCCTCCAGCTGCCCGTGATTTTGTAAATTTCTCAAACAAATTGTTCCAAACATCTTTTTCTCTTGTTTCCAAGATACTCAAAGAGATTTCTACCGCTATAGTATATCCCCGCTTCTGGATAGAGTATAAAGCAAGGCAGCGATAAGATAGCCATTAGCTAAATTGGTTGAGATATGTATATAAGACCATTGAAAATGATACACCTGCGAACTTTCTCAGACATGGCTGCTTACTAATTATGCCACATGTTTCTTTGAAAGACCTTTTAAGGAAAATTAGACAAAGTATGTCTCTTTCAGGATTTATCATTTTATTTAGGTGTTTATAGATATGAATAATCTTCATAGCTCGTATTGTATTTCGAACCTCCAACCTCGTATTGTATTAAAAATAATAATTTTAAGCCCTGACGCGTCTGTGTAATGTGATAAGTTTGACGTCTCTGTGTCTGTTTGTGGCATCTTAGCTTCTAAACGAATAGACCGATTATGGTGCGATTTCTTTGTTTGAAAGTTGACATGATCGAGGTGGTGCTTAGATATAATTTGTGAAGATCATCAGATCATTTTTTAGTTGGTTAAGGGATCTCACTAACGTACACAATTTCGATTGATGGTAAAATTTGGTGTACCTACTGTTACTTTAGTTCTATTTTTATGTTACGGAAACCTTAAGCCGATGCTGTGGCTAACCCTTGGTTTAATGCTGGTGTCGGAGGTGTTCTAAATTTTTGATTTGCGTTATACTTTTAATATAGTTCACACACATACATATGTAAAAAAACTGAAAGGGTATTACTAATTATTATGATACTGCTAATTATTATATCGAAATTAAGTTTTGTGTGTTCAGTTGGTTGTTCTTGTAGTTGATTATAAAACTGTAATTTGGCAACTTAAACCAGATCTAATAAAAGAGTCATGAGGTGCACCGTAGAACTTGAAGAGAGTGGTTACTAGTAAACTCCTTGATTTGGCTTGACTTGACTTGATTCATATGTACTTTATGTATTTATGTTTGATTTTACTTCACAATTAGAGCGTAGATTGCTCAGGAACAAGTTTAAAAATCTGAAATATTCTGTTCTTACCCAGGAGTGTGGCCAGCCGAAGGCCTTGAGAGCCAGGTGGGTCTTCGTGGCAGCTCCGTAGACTACGCAGCTGCACTGTTACTTGCTGCTATGGCTGCCGTACTACTAGCGGCTGTGGGCTATCAATGTGCTGCCACCTGGCGCTGGATAGTGGGAAGGTGAGCTAAATTATAAAAATGCACCATTTATATGTTTGAATTACGATAGTCTCTCTATGCCCTTTTTTTTTTTTTTTTTTTTTTTTTCCCTCGGATACCACCTATCGGTGGCATGTCGGACTCGAACCGACTAAAACCGCACGCCGTCGCCGGGTACTAATAGCCGGGGAACCAGGTATACCCTAGAAAGGAAGTCCCTGGTGCCCCGACATACCTCGGGTCATCTACAGACGAGTAGACGACCCCCCGTGTGGGAACCCCATGTTCCCTGTGCTCCCTGGAAGCGAGCGCGCTTCGCAACGCGCTCGCCGCCACCCCGGCCTGCTTCTGCTAGGGTGACAGATGGCCTCACCTGTCACCCCCAGGCCTGCGCTTATGGAGGACGGAGGTCGTTCTGCGACCTCCGGCGCCTGAGTCGCCTGCGGTGCCTGGCCCGTGCCCAATCCTGGCAGGCCGGGACAGTTCTAAACCTCTCCCGGTCTCGCTCCGCCGTCTCCTTCGCGAGCATAACTTGCTCGCAGAAGGAGACGGCGGAGTTTCACGCACTCTCGCTCCGCACGATAGCCGCAATCAGGCTATCGAGCGAGAGAACTCCCACTCCGATGGCCGCCACGAGGTCTCGCCTCTGCTCGACCCACGCCGGGCACTCTGCCAGCGTGTGGAGAGCCGTGTCCACGGTCTGGCCATCGCAGTGGTGGCACTCAGGCGTTGGCTCCTTGCGGATCAGACACATGTGATCTCCGAAACATCCCTTCCCAGTGATCACCTGCGTCAATCGGTATGAGCCCTCTCATCCGTGAAGTCCCGTGACGCCTCTCGAGCCAATCCTCCATAACGGGTCTTACCGCCGCAATGACGGCGTGCCCGGCGCTCGGTTGCCCGAGTCGTTCCCTCCACTCCCCTATGATGACCTGGCGGAGTTGGGATTTCCGGTCATCGATTTCTCGAATCTCGGGGCATCGACCCAACTCCTGCGCCTCCTTGCGCCACTGATACAGAGCCGCAAGGGCTCTCGCCTCCAGGTCCCACGGTGGAGTTCCGGCCAGGAGACTCGCCGCCTCAAAGGAGATCGTGCGGTACCCCCTTATGATCCTGATGGCCAGCATTCGCTGCGGTCGTCGCAGTATCGCGACGTTGCTGGCCAGTCTCTCTATGCCCTGCTCTTCAAAGATGCCTGACTTGTGTCAAATCCGACAGAAGCCTTTTTCAAGAAGCCTTTTTTTTAATGCGTAGGGAGCAAACGAGCAGATGGATCAATGGTAAGTGATGTATTAAAAATACACCCAAGTTTTATATTTTAATTCTGAAGCACGTTACTATAATCATTTTAAACTATTTTTTTATAACATTTCTTATAAATCTTCAGTACTTGTTCTAGCTTTCGTAAATCAGTAGTTTTCGAAGCTAATCTTCGTATACAACGCTTAGCTTGTGCAGGACCCGCCGTGATGGAGACAGCAACTGCGACTCACTCTCCCGCCAAGCCGCCATACGAATCAGCCACTCGCTGCCAGATCTGCAAGCTGAACCGTTGAAGGAAGAGTATGTGCAGGAACATAAAGATCCAGCAAAGAAGGTAAGGAATACTTTAATTCAAAATCAAAGAAACGTTATTGATGTTCTAATATTAGGCTGTAGAATATTATATTAATTATCCGTGTTAAGGATACGGACTGTCACCACCCCCCTATTCATCCCGTGGATGTCGTAAGAGCCGATTAAGAGACCAAAGTATGCAATACAAAAGTACTGCAAAGAGAAGGAAAATTTGACACAAACTCTATACCGACCCGTCTGGCCAGTATTCTGTAGTGGACCAAAACCTCCTGTCCAGGAGAGGCCAGCAGTGGACTATTAAAGGCTGTTCATGATGATGATATTATGTTGATAAATATGAATAAAATGTAAAGAAATTGAAGTTAACTAAATTTAATTATCACAACTGTAAATGAGATAAAACCGATAACAAGTTATGTGAACATTTTTCAATTAAAAAAATTCAATTAAAAGATTTAAATTTCAGAATCAGAATTAACTTGTTTAAAGGTTTGTGTCTCTATAGCCTCTTCTGAGTATTAAACGGTTCAACCGTTATTTTAAATCAAAAGTCACATGTAACACAACATATTTAAAGTGCATGGTATAACGTTGTCTCTAAAGGTAGTTAGTATTTAAAGGCAATCTTTATACAATATTAATATAAGGGTTAAAGTATGAATTTGCCGATTTGTACTGAAAAATTGAAACTCGTTTTTTTCTAAGATGTAACATATTTATTTCACCAAAATATTTACCCGCATTATCTTTACATTGTTGCCATCTAAACGGAAGTTTATTCATGCCTTTACGATAGAACTCTGGGGATCTAGATTCGACAAACTTCGTCTGAACGCGAAGTCCTGGTCGGCCAAACTGGACGAGACCTGTCCCCGCCAGCAATTATTGCTGCCATGCTGGCGGGTGAGAAGGGATGGGGCGCAGTGGTCTCTTTCTGTGAAACTGTAATGCTCCAGAAAGAGACCGCTGAACGGGATCGGGAGAGGGCCGATCCCGAACGTAGAGGACGTCGGCGCCGATAACAGCCGTCGACGGGGCCAGAGAGGGGACCTCTGGTGGCAAATTGATTGCTGCGGTAGGGCATGGAATGTCCGGCCTGATTGCATTAATATGCGATCGGGCCGCCATGCCGCGATTGAGGGGGGAAGTGTTCTCCCCTGGGATAGGGCCTGATTAGGCATGGTGTCAATTCGGGGAGGACCTGAAATAACATGGTCCGGGTCCTCCCCAGAGTAGGAGACCTGAGGCAGGCCGTCGGGGTGGTTTTTAGTGGAATCATCACATACTCCTGGCTCATAGTCCCCGAGGAGCATGAGATCCGATGGGATTTTCCACCCCGTCAACAAGAAAAAAAAAAAAAAGATTCGACAAACTTTGTGAAAGGATTTTGAACTGAATCCTGGGAAGAAAAACGCGTGGTGCGTTCATCAGCAATCTCAATCCAAACACAGCGTTGATATTTCGGGCCGTTTCTACCGCGTTAGTTTCACGTCAAAACTCGTATTCAAAAATGACTTGGATTTTCGAATTATCCATTTTTCACGTCGCAGCTGAATAAAAAAACAATTGAAAGTCGAAAATAGCATGTTGCACTCTTTTAAAGAGAAGAACCTCATAGGTAACACGTGAAAAAAGTTTCACACGATAATCTCACACCATGAAGGTCTTATATCAATTCAAAGTATCTACTACTATGCTACGGCATTTTTTTTTAAATTGTGGATGGAAGTGACTACATGAACGCCTGCAACTCAGGAGTCACAAGGACGTTGCTGGCCTTTGAGGATGGAGTACGCTCTTTTCTTGAAGGTTTGAGGGTCGTATCAGTCCGGAAATACCGCAGCTGATAACTTGTTCCACAGGTTGGTAGTGCGAGGCAAAAAATTCTTGAAAAGGGCACAGTAGTGGAGAGCCAATTATCCAAGTGGTGGAGATGGAAACCCCTAAAGAAATATTTTTTTTTGTTTTAATGTCATGAGAGATTGAGATTTTTTAGTTTTATAAATGTGTACATCAATTTATGTATATATCTTATTTTATTACATACATACGTTTTTTCAACTTTACGCCCCATAATATAAATCGTTTATAGTATATATTGCTGAGACTTTGTTTAGAAAAACATATGGAAAGCTTTCTGTTGTCGATAGGGATTTATTTCTCTCCTACTTAGATGACTTTGTGTTTGGAAAATATCGCTGTTTTAATAGAGCATCATGATGCCGCTTTAAGAAGTAACAAAAAAAGAGAAGATAATTTCTTTCCTATTTTATTTTAAGTAATACATTTAGACAGACACTACTAATTTGTCATCTTTAGAACAGAAGAAAAACATAAATGCTTTACTGATGTAGGTAATCTCAATCTGAATCCAAGATAAAACCTTAAACCTAGATATCTGTCTATCAGTAATTAGTGAGAGAAACTACCTTTTTTATCCAAAAGTCAGTAATTGGAATAATGAACATTTGTAAATGGGCTTACTGTTTATCAATAAGAGACCCTGTGAACCTGTGTTTAAATAAACCATACTGCAGCAAAAACACCCCATCTTTATTAAATAATAATATTTTTTATTGACATAGAAAATAAGTACAGTGCTTACAAACATTCATATTATCATAACAGCATCAGTGAAAACTTAAGCAGTCTAGCTCTGACACCCATTGTAAGAATTAACTTGAGTCATGGGTACCAGTTCTTCTCACAATTGTAGACTTATGATAAGACGCGTATGTGCCTGCGTGCGTGTGTCTCTCTGTGTGTGTGTGTGTGTTTAATTTTATAGCAGTGTGAGTCTCATTAACTTCTCGGTTGTGACGTACAGAATGTTCAAGTAACGAGTTAATTACTTTGGTTTCTCAAGGTGATGAATTTCCCTCAACTGTGTTTTATTTGTATGTATAATCTTCTTCCGTTTCCGTTTCATTTTAAGTTTATAAAAGTGTTAATTATAATTTAGTAGCATTATCTTTTGAAAATAGTTGAGTAGGTATAAAAATTCTTTTTATTTTTATTCTTGGGAAAACACTTTTCTGCTGCATATTTCTCAACGTTGTGACAACTTTACACTTTGTAACCTCAAATAAAAATTTTCGTAAATTTAAACCATTAGATTCTTTTCGTACATTCATTAATTACATGTAATTCAAATCAAATTGAAGAAATTGTATTTTATTTTTCGACCACGAAATTTCTTCAAATTATTTTCGCTTTAGGTAAATTGTAAAATAGTTGAGTGTGCCGCACTTTATAATAATAATAATATATGTCACACATCTCACACACGGCCGTCTGATACCAAACTAGGCAGAGCCTGTACTATGGTAACCAGACTGCTGATAAACATACTTATTTATTTCTAAATACATACATATTATAGATAAGTTACACCCAGACACAGAACAAATGACCGTACTCATCACACAATATTTGTCTTGGGTGGGAATCGAACCCACAACCTGTGGTTTAGCAGTCACGGTCACTAATCACTAGACCAACAGGCCCGTGAACAGGGCCTGTTGGTCTAGTTCTTTTTTTACCATTGGAAAGATTGTTTTCCTGTGCCTATTTCTCAACAGTATAACAATTACACATTTTTGTATGTCAACTCCATCATTTGATCGACATGGTCTGTAATTACGAGGGCGGGTCAATAAGTCCGTGACTTTTTGAATTTCTGACATCTTTACTGAAAAAGCAACACTACTCCTGTCAACAGGCATCTGTCAGTTGACTCCTGTCAAAATTTGAACTTGCTGCGTCAGTTAGTTTGTGTTTGACAGCTATCTTTATCAGACTACCCAGTAATTTGAGAAAAAAATGGAATAAAGTGAATTTCGTGTGCTTATTAAGCATTATTATTTGCGAAAAGAAAAACACTACCGAGACCAAGGCTAAGCTTGATAAATACTATGGGGACTCTGCACCATCGATTTCAATGGTAAAAAATTGGTTTACTGAATTTCGTTGTGGCCATACAAGCACTGAAGATGCCGAACGTCCCCCAGTTGAGGTCTCTTCACCCGAAACAATCGAAAAAATTCACGATATTGTGTTGGCCGACCGAAGATTGAAAGTGCAAGAGATTGTGGAAGCCGTAGGGATCTCGCATAGCTCAGTGGTTTCAATTTGAATGATCACTTGGGCATGAGAAAGCTTTCCGCAAGGTGGGTGCCGCGATTGCTCATAGTCGACCACAAACGCAATCGTGTAACAACTTCACAGGAAGGTTTGGCGTTGTTTAATCGCAATATGGAGGAGTTTTTTTTTTGTAACCGTGGACGAAACATGGATCCATCACAACACACCAGAGACCAAACAACAGTCAAAACAGTGGGTTTTCTAAGGGTGAATCGGCGCCAAAGAAGGCCAAGGTGGGTTTGTCAGCCAATAAAGTTATGGCGACTGTCTTTTGGGATGCACGCGGGATAATCCACATTGACTACCTTCAAAAGGGAAGAACAATCAATGGGGAATATTATGCCAACTTATTGGACCGATTCAATGACGATTTGAAAAAAAATCTACCTCATTTGGATAAGAAAAAAGTTATTTTTTACCAAGACAATGCAAGGGTGCACACATGTGCAGTTGCCATGGCAAAAATCCATGAATTGGGCTATTGCTCCTTCATCCGCCCTATTATTATTAAACCTGAAGAAATGGCTTGGAGGAAAAAGATTTGACTCCAATGATAAAGTCATCTCGTGAACAAAGGCCTATTTTGAGGAGGTCCTCAAAAAAAAAAAAAAACAAAAAATAAATAAAAAAAAAAAAAAAAATAATAAAAAAAAAAAACATTTACTATAAAATATATTGGAGGGGATAAAAAAATTGGAGAAGCGTTGGACAAAGTGTATAGAGCTCAAGGGAGACTACGTTGAAAAATAAAATGATTTATTTATCAAAAAATCTGTGTTTTATTCCAAAAGTCACGGACTTATTGACCCGCCCTCGTACCACCTACTTTTTACCTCTAAATTTTATGGAACATCTGCCACTTTCAATGTATTTTTC